TGGTCCCCTAGTTCGCACTTCTCAGTAATGAGCTATATTCTGCGCGAGTCAAGCTTGACTGTGACTGGGAACCTGGTAGAGGTGGGCTGGAAATTGTCGCATGTCCTACTTTGTCCATAGTGGAAGCAGCGCCTGACCCCGTTTCTCAACACTTTATGCCAATGTCAGCAAATGCAATCTCTGACAATGCTGTTGATTTATAGTTAAGAAAAATTAATTATGTGACCTCGAACATTATATTGTGATATGTATAGGCCTACCCATTGCTAGGAGCGCTCTTACATGCTCTTATACTTTGGGGAGGAGCCAGGATAGCGCACTACGTATAGCGAATGGCTACTGACTGAACGACCGAGAGTTCGGAGTTCGAGTCCCGGTAAGGTCAAGAATTTTCTCATCTCCACGTCGTCCAGACTGGCCCTGGGGTTCAGCCAACCTCCTATCTAATGAGTACCGGGGGCTCTTCCCCCGGGGATAAAGCGGCTGGGGCGTGAAGCTGACCACTCACCTCCAACTAGTGCCGAGGTCAAGAAAATATGGATGTATACATCCACTCCTCCATACGCCTTCATGGCGTAGTGGTGAATTAGCATTTATGTAAGCACTTTACATTATGTAACACGAGTATATATATACGGATACCATAATCTCCTCAACACGAGAGAAATGAGGTTCTCACGGAGATAATTGTGAAGATTACAGCCTTCCTGGACGCGATACCATCTAGCCTGCTGCATCTTTCATAATTGTTTCGCATGAACCAACTGCCTCCCTTTACAGGGCAGAAGAGCTATTCTTTTACCCTGAATGCTCGTACCTTTAAAAATATACGACATCGCATCCAAGAATACAGCACTCTCTATTCACGGCATTTGCTCTTAAGTTAGTACCTAGCGAAATGAAAAAAAAAAAATGACGCATTAATTTATTATATAATATAGGTTTTGTAATGAACTGAAGTGACTTATATTCAAATGAGGCAATAAACGTGTAGGCCTGATGGAAGTTTAATTAAACTCTGTTAACGCAATACAGGTCTAGTGGACAGAGTACCTGGCTACAGATCTAGAGGTCCGGGTTCGATTCGCGGTGCTACCAGATGTTTTAAGAAGTTGGTCTGGAATGGGGTCCTCTCATCCTCGTGAGGAAAACTAAGGAGCTATTTCAAGGAAATAGCGGCTCTGATCTAGAAACCTGAAATTAACGGCCGTTGGGGATTCGTAGCGCTGACCACGCGACACCCTCTATTCGCCAAAGTTGGCACTAACTTCGCCGACAAGCGGGCCGTCGCTCGGTCGGTATAGTTCGCTTGCGAACTAAAACCACGGAGTTTGTTTTTAATGCAGTACAGATCTATATAAAAGTTCATTTATGTCCTTGAGTAAGATGAACGTTAAATTGAATTACAGCGAATTAAATGTATGAAGAATCTTACATACACTGCAATGCTCACTAATACCTTATTCATTAGGTACACCAGTTAAATAAGTAGTCAGAACAAAATCCAAAAAATAATAGTGTTTTTAAGCCTTTAAATAAAGTGGTTCTTAAAATGATCTAAACTAAATCAATATCAACATAGTTCGACAAATTCAAGAGTAGTTCCGAGTTTTGTCAGAATCGGTTCAGCTGTTCAGGCCCTGTCATACAAGATACGGCCGGTTGTGAATATAATAATGAAGAGATCTAATTTTCGATTCGTTTTCTGAATTACCTAAAACTCTATGCTAGATACACTGGTTCTACAGGAGGACGTAAATAATTTAGAAGAATACTGCCCTTGAAATACAAAGAAGTAGAAATTTTATTATACTGCTATATATACTACTATACTAAACGTGAACTAAGGAAATTAAAATATCTCTTTATAAAGTCCCTTTGTCCGAATCATGCAACTCCTGCTGAAAACATTATTTATTCTGATAAGATGTTATGTCCAGCTTGTGATAATCTTGGGAAACGGCGAAACAACATTACTAAACTGATTAAATTTGTTGAATTTTGAAACTTCTAATTACAGAATATAATTTAACATGTTCGCTTATGCTAAGGAATAACTTGAAATTGCACTACAATAAACAAAGTTCGTGGAACTGTATAATTTCAATTATGGAACAAAATTCTGTACGATATTTTATGCTAAGGGAGAAGGTGAACTAGGTCAGTAACAAATAATATTTGTGGGGATGCAGAATTTTCAGATATGGAATATAACTTTCCACTAATGTTTAAGAGAAAGAATAAAGATAAACACACACACACACACACATATATATATATATATATATATATTCTACAGCCGTTGTGAGAATATGGAGTTTTGGATGTTGGCTATAACCCCAAATTACGTGTTCCTTTTCGCTTTTTAACAGAAGTAAAGCAAATTCTCTCTCAAGAGTAGTTAATAATCTCTCAGGCACTTTATATATTCCCTGCCTGTTATGAACCCCGAAGGCTCATAACAATATTCACCAAAGCCCACTACCTATAAGTATCTTGCGCCAGATGAAACTATTCCACACTGTTACACGTTATTCCTGTATCATCCACAATATTACTGTCCCTCGTTCTCTGCCTATGTCTACAAGCTGTACCTTCCCTACAAATTTCCTCATTAGCATGTTAATGTGAATAATATTGATAATAGGACTCAAACTTCCGATTTCTTTGGTTGGAACCTTGCAGCCCTGCGTTGTGTTTAATATATATATATATATATACACACACACACACTCACATACTCACATCCTATAAATGCTTCTGGCTCCTAGACGTCTGAATTTGGGTTTAATATTAGATACAATGAAACTACTTTCAATTTTAACAGCAACAAAAATAGCTATTGCCTTTTGCTGCATGAAGTCAGCAAATTATGCACCCAGCGGCTTTGAATCTTTACAAAGACTTTCAATGCCAAGCAGTTCTAAAACCAGTTTAGTCACATAGTTGCTTCAGTAACACTTTCTGAAAGAGCGCCAAAAAAATTACATTTTAAACCACAGACTCTGTTTCCATTGAAATTAAAACCCAGTCAGCCATTTTAACTTTGTTAACGCGTAATTGCTTTACAGCCATTGTTAATGGTTCTAAAGTGAAACGGTACGGCTTTCTTCGGTAACTTATACATGGACTCCGTACAAACATTGGAATGTCAGAGTATCAAAACAAGGAAAGTACTTCTGAAGAGTTCTAACAATGGTGTATAACACTCGGGACTGCTGGGTTTTTGGGCGTTATACATCATCCAGTATTCTAAAGAGCACAACTTTTCAGAAGCTGTATCTATTTCCATCTTCAGGCGAGGTGGTATGAGACAACTACTCTGTTGGGTCCGTTAGAAATACCTAACCTCATCATAGGAGGGGATTAGACGATGGAGGTCAGCTCTTTCTGACGGACCCAACATAGCATGTGCCTCCCACCCCCTCATCTGAAGATGGAAACAGATTCAGCTCCTGAAACATTGTGTCTTTAGAATACCGGACAAAGAACAAAGCCACAAAACCCAGTAACCGCCGATGAAAGTATTGTATGTGCTGTTCAGATTGTGTAGAATGGACTGTGAAGTGGTAAGTTTAATATTAATGTGAGAGGGGAGAGTAAGGATAGAAAGCTGTTCTGATTTAAAGTATCAACAAAGAATTCGCTTGGACAGGCTGAAGAAATTCAACAAATACAGGGTTATTCAAAAAGAATGAACCGATTTTATTACGCATTATTTTATTAAAGGAAAGTAATACAAAACTCCAGCCAAGTCACAAGTATTCTACTCACAATCAACTTTTATTTCCTGTCTTACAAGTGTTCAATGTGGCCACCACCTGCAGCACGGGCAACATCAATGCGATAAGAGAATTCCTCCCAGGCGCGTATCAGCATATCACGATGCACTGAGTTAATCGCTGTTGTTATTCGATGTTTAAGGTCATCGAGGTTAGTGGGTAGCGGTGGAACATAAACGTGATCTTTTACATATCCCCACAAGAAGAAATCACACACGGTGAGGTCTGGGGATCTCGCAGGCCAAGCACAAAGAGTAAGGTCTTTGGCCCCCTTCCGACCAATCCATCGCTGGGGCACCTTTTCAGTTAAAAAAGCTCGGACCATCAGGTGCCAATGGGGCGGTGCTCCATCTTGTTGAAAAATGAAGTCATGCGAATCTGCTTGCAGTGAAGTGAAGAGCCAGTTTTGGAGCATATCGAGATAGGTTTGTCCTGTAACGGTGTTTCCTTCAAAGGGGGACCATAAACCTTGTCCTGAGACACAGCACAGAAGACGTTCACCACAGGGGAATCTCTTTCGTGCTCAGCTGTTTCATGTGGGTGCTCTGTTCCCCAAATACGCACATTGTGATGATTGACTGTGCCGCTCAAGTGAAAAGTCGCTTCATCACTAAAAATTAAACATGAAATGAAGGTTTCGTCTTCCATCATCTCCAGCATCGAATCGCAAAATTCCATCCGCTTCCTTTAGTCGTCATTGGTAAGTGCCTGAACGAGCTGCAGTCTGTATGGTTTCAAATGTAGACGTACTGTTAGCACACGCCAGACAGTGGATTGAGGGATCGCAAGCTCATGGCTAGCTCGATTTGTTGACTTCCGCGGGCTCCTCTTGAACGCAGCACGGATTCTCGCCACTTGTTCCTCCGAGACTCGTGGCCGTCCTGTACTATTTCCTTTACACAGACACGCACTCTCTTGAAACTGTCCAAACCACCGTCGAATGTTCTTAGGACAGGGCGGATTAATGCCCAATCGCCTTCGAAAGCACGCTGCACCGTGACAACCGAATTTGTTTTCGCGAACTCGAGAACGCAGAACGCCTTTTGCTGAGGACTCGCCATTCGAGGGTAAACGAACAAGTGAACGTTGCCGGAAGAACGACGCGACTTCAGCGCCCCTGTGGCAGCCATTCACAACTTAGATAACTCCTCTTTCAAATGGTCACTGACTCATTCCATGACGATGCTTGAGAACTGAAGCAATGCGTCATGAAATCGGTTCATTCTTTCTTTTTGTTGGGCCCAGTATTCTTACTTCAGAGGGCTAACTGTAGGTTGTAAGCGCCACAGGAATATGTATGAACCTGAGCTCGGATCAATTCACGATGTGAAGCATGGGCGCCTAACAGACTGGCCTTGGCATCAATAATATAATAGCAAGAACAAGGATCAATACATCGCGTGCTCTTGGATACATTCGAGTACATTAGAAACTGCTAGACTGGAAGGCGAAAATTAGCTACGCGTATTCCATTATACACCGCATTGGGCCTATATTACGACTGTTATGGAACAGCTCTAACTCACGTGCTTCTCAGTTTATCAAGGTGGTGGTACAGAAATAAGGATCAGACTGATGACAGGTAAGAAAATTTACCTACTTAAAAAATTCACTTTTTAAAAGAGGGCAATTTTCTGAATACCGTTATGTTACGTCATGCTTATCTTAAAGCATTCTTAGTACCAGCCGGATGTGAGTAGTCAGCTTCACAATCCGGTCGTCTTTACTACTATGAAGAAGCCCTCAGTACCAAAATTTCGTTCTAGAACTGGTGATAAAGAGAAATAAAAAAAAAACATCCTTACTTGGAACCTATAATTGTCCGTCGACTCAGCAGCCCATCAATTTACAATCTTCGCCGTCTTGTCCCACAATTCCCCCCCCCCTTATACATACTACCAACTGGAGGTTATTTATATGTCCTGATATATGTCGTATATCTGTAATAAACTATACGAGCAGTTATATGGTGTTTTTGCCAATTTTGCTAGATCCATAACCGGAATATCTGACACCATTTGTTTACGCACAACCTGGAAAATGTAAGAAACGCTGTAACCTTTCGCAATATCTACAACATAGTCTGATTCTGAATAAACACAGTATCCACAGAGATACTGGGTTTTCGGACATTATCCATCGTCCTGGTTTTTAAGATAACTAAGAAAAACACGACGTTTCGGAAACTGGATCTGTTTCCGTCCTCAGGTGAGGGAAAACACCTATTCTGTTGGGTCCCTTCGAAAGAGCTAGCCTCAATCACTGGATCAATCCAGTGTTAGTTATCTTAAAAACCAGGACAATAGATAAAATCCGAAAACCCAGTATCTCTGTGTGTTATACACCATCGTCAGAATCCTATAGTAACTACAAACACAGTATCGTCACCCAGAAACTACAGTCTGTTGCAATAGTGCATTTTGGACAAAGACAGTAGCCCTATGTCTCTTACGTTAACGTGTTATGGATAAAAGACGAAATTTGAAGCAATGTTTGCTTAAGTTATAGCGACTTTTAAATTTTACTGTAACATAAGCCATGGAATTTAGGATCACATGACAACTATAAAATATTTATTGCATTGTACAGCCAAGCTATTCTGTGGAGTCTGTTACAAATTTGGTAATTTAGTTAAAAAAAAAATATATTTCTGAACCGCAATTGGGTCTAGTAAACAATTAAAGTATTACATTAAAAGGAATATGATTATCCATGAAACCATTTACAAAATGCATACAGCCATTATGCGGTATACATTTTTCCATAACATGCTAAAGTGAAAAAACTGCAACTTAAAATTAAAATTTGATACAAGTATATTTTAAGTTGTATTTTATTTTTTATTTTTAAATTTCCCAATTTTAATTAAATGTACTATTCTTCTTGATTCGTCTGCAGGAATTGACATATGCTGTTTAAAGTAAACAATTTGTTTTTGTTTTTTTATATAAGCTTTTCGTGGCACTTTGCTGTGTCGAGTTTCTTTTCTTACTTTATTCTTCTCCTTCGTGATTTCTTAACTCTTCTCGTTTCTGTCTGTAATTCCACTTTCTGCTATATAGACATAATTCTGTGTAGCAGTGTATCCTGTTCCATATTCATATTGTCGGGCTTTGTACAGCGTTAGTCCTTGACAACTATCTTCTCTATGTAGGTATGCAGACTCCATATTAGGGGTCGAAACATGCAGTGGAGAAAGCGAACCCACGTGATGACTAAGTAAATCATAGAGACTGCTCTAAAGTGCGGCAGAATGATACATTATAGTATTACGTAACAAGGAGTTGCACGATTTTGAACATACCGTCTCTGATGCTAGAATGGAATTCTGCTGGCTGCGAGGAGCTGGACATGGGACAGACAAGAAGTGTATAGAGAATTTTGGTGAGGAAACCTCATGGAAAACGTCCACTTCAAGGATTCAGAGACAGCATTAATGTCGGTCCTCTTAAAATGTAAATGTTCACCATCGAACAACAGGCTATAGAGATTGTGACGTGTAAGGGTTCTGCGTGGGTTTTGGATTGATGATTGGATTTATTGACACCTTATACACACAACTCGGGACTGCTGACAATTACAGCGCTATTGCTGATCTACACATATTCCAGTTCATCGTTACAAATGCACTAGGATTCTCAGTCTTCAATAGTCGTATCCTGGCAACGGATTTACAGCAGTCTCACTATCACTTCAATTCACATATGAAGTCTTCTCTTCATAGTCTAATTCCTATCATCTCGTTATTCTGCAAGTGCCAATACCAAAGACTGGACTCAATTCCTCTGCTCACAATCTCATATCCTGGCAGGCTGGCGTCTCTAAACTCGATTCTCCACTCTGTTCTGCTCAGTTGAATTATTTTTTACAACCACTTTGCACGGACCCCAAGTTAAACACCGTCTTCTATTGTCCCGTATTTTTAGGCGTGTTGATGGCACCATTACATAATAACATTCGCGGCGCGGCCACATGAAAAACAGCGTCTATATTGTTGAGGCGTGTTTAACGCTGGAACGTGTTTACCGAGAGGAGTCGGTATAGCGAATGGATACGTGCTGGACGACCGAGGAGTCGGAGTTTGAGTCCTGGTAGGATCAAGAATTTCCTCTTCTCCACGTCGTCCAGACCGGCTCTGGTGTTCACTCAACCTCCTATCCAATGGGTACCGGGCATTCTTTCCCCGGGGGTAAAGCGGCCGTGTCGTGAAACTGACCACTGACCTCCATCTAGTGCTTAGGTCAAGAAATCGTAGGTCTATACATCCACTCCCCATACGCCTTCACGGCGTAGTGCTGAATTAATTAAGCACAGAGACAACTTTACAGTTACCTTTACGTGTTCACCGAGTCGTTGCCTAGCAATTGCCTACATGTCACGTTATAAAGTTCGAGGTCACATAAGTAATTAGCCTTGACAAATTAATGTTGAACTATCAATCAACAGCATCGTCATAGATTGCATTTTGTTAACATTGGCATAAAGTGTTGAGAAATGGGGTCAGGCGCTACTTCTGCTAAGGACAAAGTAGGACATGCGACAATTTCCAGCCCACCTCTACCAGTTTCCCAGTCAGAGTCTAGCTTGACTCGCGCAGAATATAGCTCATTACTGAGAAGTGCGAAATAGGGGACCATTATAATCAACAATGCTCTGCTCCAGGTTGTTATGCAAACGTTCTGTCATGTGTACTAGAAGTATTACGTGGTGAAAGCAAATGACAACATAATCGGAAGTACAGACCAAACCCCGAGCAACTTACCACAACCTCTCACATATGCAGTAGTGGGTTTGCGCCATTACATTTCACAAAGTGACCCTCGTAATATTTCATTCACTCTGGGAAAGGAAAACGCAGCACTTGAAAAAGGTACAGTTGTCTCTCTGCTTAACTAATTAAGCACTACGCCATGAAGACGTAATGGGGTGTGTCTGCATAGATTCATATTTTCTTGACCTCGGCACTAGTTGGAGGTGACTGGTGAGCTTCACCCTCCGGCCGCTTTACCCCTGGGGAAGAGCCCCCCAGTGTCCATTGGATATGAGGATTCCTTATAATCATAATCATCATCATCATCATCATCATCAGTAATCTGTCAGACGACAGGTCCACAGGCTCTTCCAAAACAATTCCTCCATTTAATGCGATCTAGAGCTTTCTCCTTCAAATCA